GCTCAAATTTATAAAGAACTACAGAAACTCTTAACAACCCAGAAATTAATGGTAGAGAATAATAGCTTTAATGCTGAACAGGTTTAATAGAACAAGGGCACAATCTTACATCCTATTTCCTTACCAAGCAAATGGATACCATGTTGGAAGAATGCCATCCCTACACTTTATTAAGTATTCTTTTAGGGCTTCTAGCTCTACACCAACAGCCAAAGAAATATTATAGATTTTGTTGTAAATCAGCTAATCAGCCACTGGGTCATGAGGAGGGAAAGTGTCTCTGACTCTTATAAAAGAATGTACTCATTGGGGCACCTGGGTGGCTCAGTCCGTCAAGTGTCAGACTCTTGGTTTCAGTTCAGGTCATGAAGTCAGGGTCATGGGATCAAGCCCCCATGTGGTCACCTCTATACTCAGTGGGGAGTCTGCTAGAAATTCTCTCTCCCTTTCCATCTCCCTCTATCCCTCCTCCTGCTCGTGCGTTTTCTCTCTAAAATAAATAAAATCTTAAAGGAAAAAAAACCCAGAATGTTCTTACATAGAAAAAAAGAATGTAATCATTAAGTACTCTGCCAGATGTAAAGCAGTGTCTCATCTACAGACCCTCAGGATTGGACAGTTCAATGGGAATGCAGCAAACAGGACCAGGCTGAGAGGATTATAATGGGGCATAAGTAAATTGTGTGCAGGCCTAGAAGATCCCTGGAAAACACAAGATTTGCATCATATTAAAATAGAGTTACTTCACCAAATATAATGCATGTTCCTTGATTAGACCCTGGCTTGAACAAATCATCTATAAAACAATTTAGGGGACAAATGGGAAACTTGAATATGGCTTGGGTATCAGATGATATTAAAAATTATAGTTAATTTTGTTAGACGCAGTAATGGTACTGAGATTTGAAAGGAAAATATTCTTGTTTAGAGATGCATATTGAAGTATAAGCAAAAATACAAAAACGTTTTTCATAATAAACAAAAAAAGCAGTGTTACTGTTTCAGTTTGGTGGTCACTACAGTAAACAAGGGAAACTAAGCATTTCCCTTAGTGACTGACCACCAAGATAGTTGTTCCCATTTATCCCTTCTATAAAAATAGGATTACCTTGGGGCGCCTGGGTGGCTCAGTCGTTAAGCATCTGCCTTCGGCTCAGGTCATGATCCCAGGGTCCTGGGATCGAGTTCAGCATCGGGTTCCCTGCTCAGCCAGGAGCCTGCTTCTCCCTCTCCCGCTCCCCCTGCTTGTGTTCCCTCTCTAGCTGTCTCTCTCTCTGTGTCAAATAAATAAATAAAATCTTTAAAAAAAAAAAATTGGATTACCTTAGTGAAGAATGATGTTCCTAAACTCCTTTGGTTTTCTATTCTTTACTGCACCCACTTAACAAAGTCCCAAATCTAGAATAACTACCTTTGCCATGCCTATACCCTGATGAATACTTCTGCAGAAAAATCACACAAGAGGTATATTCATGTAATAATTAGCATCCTCAATACTACCTTCTTAATTTCTCTAATTAGAACTTTCTCCCACATGCCATAAAGACTATTTCAAACTACCTCCTTCAAATCTGTTACCAAACTTAACTACTCAATCTTAGTAAATGATCTTGCCTTCCAAATAGTAACAGAAACTAGAAGCATTCAAACAGTAGTTTTCTCTACTTCCTGCTATCTATAAATTAGCTGTACTCAGTCTGTTCCTTCCCTCCTTTAAAATAAAGAGGTCTCTTCTTCAATCAAGGGCTAATCCCCTTCGCCTGTGAAAATTTCTCTCCTTTCTCACCTTCTTAGGAGCCTTCTCTCATCAATTATCTCCTCTCCTGAATCTTCAACCTTTCTCTCTCTAGTGAGTCCTTCAATATCGAAACATGATCAAGTCTCTCATATTAAAAAACAAAAAAAAAAACCCCTCTGGATTCCATACTCCACTACAGCTATGAGCCATTATGTCTATGCCCCCCTCACAGTTTCAAACTAGTTTCCTAGATGATGTTTCTAGTTCCTGACATCCCAATCATTTCCTAACCAATTCAAATTGAGTTTTCTGCTGCCACCATTCTCTAAAAGGTACCAACGAAATCCATATCACGTTTCCCCCCAGTTCTCACCTTACTCATCTTCTCAACAGCATTTAACAACTGAGATCTCCAGTCTTCTTGAAATACTCTCTCCCTGTTGTCTTACATGATACCATATTCTTTAGATTTTCCTTTTCTTTTTTTCTTTCTCAGTCTTCTTTGCTAGTTCATACTCCTTTAGTTGATCCTTACATATTGGCACTCCTTAAATCTCTGTCCTATCATCTCTTTTCTTCTCATTCTTTATTTTCCTTGTAAATCTCATCCTCTCCCCAAATTACCATTTATACACAAAAATTATTCCAGTCTTGAACCATTTACCCAGCATTTCCACTTGGAGGTATGCCTCAGAAGCAGCTCTAACAGTTCCAAGGCTGATTTCATGCTATTTGTTGTCTTCTCTTCAGCATTCTCGGTGTCAATAAAGAGCACCACCATTTACCCAGTTCTTCGTGCTCAGAGCCCAGAAACCATTCTTTCTTAGTTTTTACATCCTAATCACCAAATCTGGTAGATTACCTCCTAAATGTCTATGGAATCTTTCTACTCTGCACTTCTTTACCATCCTTGTCCAAGTCACTGTAACATCTTACTTGGCCCCTGCAATGGTCTCCTAACTAAATCCACATCCACATTTGCCCCCAAATCCAAAGCACCTTAATGTTGTACAAAGGGGGCAGGGAGAGAATACAACACCTTGGATACACTGTTTAGCCACAGAATAAGGTTTACTGAGAAAAACGTGGAAGCAGAGAAACAGCAGAATGCACCCATTTTCTGAGTTACCATTATCTTACAGAAAGGTATCCTTCGTCCAGAAACAGACACATGGTAGAAAGTGCCTGAGGAGAGGTACCCCTTCCCCAACCACATAGGAACATTGGGAATCCCTAGCTGACTAGTAAAGGACTTCTGGTCAGGGATATGGCCTTGACAGAAAAGAGAACATCTACAGCTTAGTCTGGGGAGGTTGCATAACAACCACCAATGACAGAGATCTTGTTTTCCCAGTGACTGATCTCACCCCTGCTGAGCCAAAAAAAAGAGAAAGAAAACATAAAGAATCACTAGGCCATCAGGAGACCAAGGTGTTTCTCCTAACTCCAGACTCTACAAGATCTGGTACCTGCCTATCTTTTTAGTCTTATATTATGCCTCTTAATTTCTATGCTTCAATCACACAGGCCTTCTTTTAATTCCTTAAGAAGTTAAGTTCTTTCCCTTCTCAGGGCATTTGCACACACATGTTCTATCTGCTTAGTTAATCCTTTTTTTGCTAACTGATTAAACTCCTAAAAGATTCATTTTTCAAGTGTCAGTTTATTTTTTTAGATTTTTTAAAAAGATTTCATTTATTTGAGATAGCGAGAGAGCACAAGCAGGGGGAGTGGCAGGCAGAGGGAGAGGGAGAAGCAGGCTCCCTGCTAAGCAAGGAGCTGGATGCGGAACTTGATCCCAGGACCCTGGGATCATGACCTGAGCTGAAGGCAGACGTTTAACTGACTGAGCCACCCAGGTGTCCCACAGAGTTTTTTTTATTATTATTATTTTTTAAAATTTTAATTCCAGTACAGTTAACATACAGTGTTACATTAGCTTCAGATGTACAATATAGCAATTCAACAATTCCATATATTGCTCAGTACTTAGAGTATTCTTAGATAAGCAAACAAATCATTTTACACTGCTTTGTGCAATTCATTGATTAAAGTGTTGAAGGAAATATGAAGATCCGATTCCTGACTTCAATCCACTTACTTTCATTTAGAGAAAGAAGGCACATTTACATGAAAAGAAAACTGGTAACCAGGTACTCATCTGTAAGGGAAGTAAGAATGACAAGTCTCATCATAGCTAGAGGAGGATGGGTAAAGTAGTGATCCTCAGCCTTAGCTGCACATTTAATCACCTGGGGAGCATTTAAAAAATACAGATGCTTAGGTCCTACCTCTAGACATTCTGATTTAACTGAGTTGGTGGTGGGCTCTGGGCATTAGTATTTTTTAAAAAGCTTCCGGGTAGTTCTAGTATACAACCTGGTTGAGAACTACTGGTTTTAGGAGAAAAGGAGTAGCTGTACTGGAGAGTTAGTATTTGAAATGCTTCTTAAAAGCTAGGTGAAATGTGGATAGGCTAAAAGGAGTGAGATCTTTTCAAATAGGAATTAAAGAGTAAGAAATGATGGTAAAAATGCAGAAATGGTAAAGCATAAAGTGTGTACGAAGATACAGGACTATTAATGAGTAGGCAGGCTATATGGCTGAAGCAAAGTATTGGCATAGGAGAAGAGTAGCAAATACCTTGCATTTTTATCCTCTAGGCACTGAGGATAGCAGTAGTGCTACTGAGCATTTTTGCTATATTATTGACATGATCAGAGCAGTATTCTACCACAGAAGCCTCCCTATAAGTTGAGAAACTCCTCAAATAGGTAGCAGCTGTAAAAATGGAAGAGATGGATGAAGAGATAACAAAAAGGATAAATCAGTAAGATTTTTGGCAGAGCCATAAATGGCATAAGAAGAATTTAAAGTCACACTGATAACTTTAATACTACTAAACAGTATCATAGAGACAAATCCTGATTCTTCTAACTTCCCCTCAAATATACACATCCATCATTAGCAATCCTAGTACTATCTCTAAGGTTTATCTTTATTTTTTTCTTAGAAAGGAAATAATACTTTTTAATGCAGTAATCTGTGAAAAAGGAGTTGAGACTTAAAACAAAAAGTTGATTTGAAGTAACACTTAAATTGCGAATCCACTGCATCCTAAATATTTAATAATTACCTTCATAATTTGATGAATAAAGAATATTATGCTGAATTTTTTTATTTTGAAGTAGATCATAAGACATCTCTAAATCCAGCTCCTTTAATTTAGAATAACAATTAAATAGCTATTTCTATATCATACCTTGTATTTGGTCATGGTGCTAAAATGATTATTCCGAAAGAACACACAAAGTTCTCCTTCCTGAACCGTTGAAGTTAGTTCACATAATCCATGGTATGTCAGTTGAGTGGCTGTGTTATTTAGAAACTGCTCAGCTACAAAGCCTATGGAACCAATGCATAATATTAGATGGAAGAATAATTTCAGAATTAAAAAGTTTTTCTATTTACATTGTGTTCCAAGTATGAAGAAAGGCCAACCAAAATAAGATTTTAACTACTATAATATGATGACTCCAAATTGAAGATTTTTCTTTCTAATTCTGCTATGGAAGATTGTTTATAGACATTCTCCATCCTAAAGAAACAGTTATGTGAAATTCTTTTTAACAATAAATGTATTTACTTATACTCCACCTACTTCCAAAAAGGATTTCAGGCAGCTATCAATAAAAGATACAGACACAATAAAACTAAAACCCATTAAAATAATTAAGAAGGCAAGAGTTAGCAATTTAAAAAGTAGGTAGGGATGAAAGATGTATGTCAACAGCTACTTTCCCAATGGAAAGGTGTTTAACAACTTGAGTTGCTTTTAGATGTTAACAAAGATCCCAGATAATTCTCAATTCACAAACTGTTCAGTTTTTGCCTTAAAAAACTAAAAGTAGGTGTGAGACCAAATAGAAAACAGTGGGATAACTGATGCCATTTTATCCTAATGTCCTATCACATATACCACTCATTATGTAGATATATCAAGTTCAGAGATAGAAATGATGTTTTCAAAACACAATGAAATATAAAGAAGTTTTCTGGAGTTTAATTTAAAAGATATACGTACAGTTGATACTCATTATTTGTGCCCTTTATATCATATTTTCATATCTGCAAACTTGCCTAGTAACTAAAATTTATAAATCCAAAATCAATACTTGCTGTGCTTCAGGGTCAATCTTGGATCTGTACAAAGTGGCAAAAATTTTGAGTCACTCAATGCACACATTTCCCACTGAGGTCAAACAAGGCAACATTCTGCCTTCTTGTTTCAGCTTTCTTACTATAAATAGACTTTTCACAGTCTATAGGTATGTCTTTTTGGGTGTGTAAAATGGCCCCCAAGCATACTGAAGTGCTGGGGAATCAAAGGCTGTGATATGCATTACAGAGAAAACATATTTTTGCAGATTCATTCAGACATGATTTATAGTTGCTGTTGGCCATGAATTTAATGTTAATGAATCAACAATATGTATTAAATAAGGGGTCTCTAAACAGAAACACAAATAAAACAAGGTTATATATGGATCAGTCGAAAATCTTGTGACCAGAGGCTCACAGGAACCTAATCTTGTGTTTCCTCTAGGAATAGTGGTTCAGTATTCATGAATTTAATGTTCACAGCAACTTTACAGAACGTAACTACCAGGAATAATGAGAATCTGTATAAATAACTTAAAAGGCTGTATTTTTCTTCTTTCCTTCTTTTTCTTCCTTCATCCTTCTGCTCCTTTCCTTTAATAAGGAATGTCTCGGAAGCAGTGGGGGTGGGGGTGGGGTAGGGTGGAACAGAATGCTCTAAAAAGTTTTATAAGTAAGCAGAGAGGTGCAGATACAGGGAGGAAAGATAAACCTACATTAAGAAACTGACACCTCAACAAGAAATTGAAAAATAAACTTCGTAGGGCCAGAGGCAGCTGGATAACATAGGTTTATTCCACTCCCTCTCTATCCCTCGCCCTTGGTGTCAAGCTATAGCACTTCAAGCTGCAAAGTGGTTGTAAAAAACTACCAATGTATCACACTATTCCAAGGAATTGGTTAAGGTTGGAGGAGAAGTGCAAAAAAGTTATACAAAAGGCCCTTGCCAAAGGAAATTTATAGCCCATTTGCAACTTCTTGGGTTTATACATTTAGAAGAGCTCCCCCCTTCAGTTATTATCATTACTTTGCTAAGTACTAAGTTGCTGAGTAGACTATATACTAAAGTACTTGCTATATAACAAGTTTCAGTCTTAAGCACTATATCTATGCTGAGAAGTACCACTGCTCTACATAATATCCACGTTACTAAATGCTTCCTTCAGAAAGATGTTTCTAAATACCCCTCCCACATCTCACACAATATCCTCTCTAAAAATCCCTTTCAAAAAGATACAAAAAATGAGTGGAGATTACTGAATTCACAACATTATTTCATGTGTGTGAAATTCAAAAATGCTACACTAGAAAGGTCTTTCTCAGGTACTTCTTTCTAGAGAACAGGGTATCAGCTCAAGAGAGAATACATGACTTGCTCGAGGACATAAAACTAGTAACAGCAAAGTGAAGACTGGAACCCAGGAGAATTATTGGTATTAAGTTTAAAAATTTAGTGCTGATTACTATAAATGCAAACTGAACTGTATTTCTCCCAAGCCATAAAGCATATTCTAATTTAGACTTATAGAGAACAATGTTTCCTAATTCTTTTACCAACTCTTAAAATGACCCCTGTGATTTTCATGGAATGTTCAAAAGCCTAATCTAGTTTCAACTTTTCATAACCAATTAAACAAATTTTGGTAAACAATTCTAAGTGTTACATAGCAGTTTACTTATCTGCATTGCTTCATATGACAGTTTATTTGCAACATTTAGCTTAAACTTCATTTTTTTTTTTAAAGTGGGTTCCACCCACCCAACGTGGGGCTTGAACTCATGACCCTGAGATCAAGACCTGAGCTGAGATCAAGAGTCAGATGCTTAACCAACTGAGCCACCCAGGTGCCCATTAAATTTCAATGTTACAGATACTGTTATTAATGATACTAAAGTAAGATTAAAATTAATGTAATGGTAATAATAAATTATATTACTAAACATAAATTTAAATTAAAAATTGTTTCTTGACATTAGTGTGTTTGAAAATATTTCTTAGTTTCAGAAGTTCAATACTAAATTTATCAAATTACTTTCCTTCATTACTGAGGAGTTATTAGATAACAGAAAGGTACTAAGTGCCTTAAAGAAACTGATATAGAAACAGAGGCACTAAAATTAGGCAAAAAGGAACAAAAAGAGGATACAGGAAAAAAGGAAAACTTGGCTTATTTTTAAATGTTGGCTAGATTTGGCACTGCTTAAGATTTGCATTCATATTTAAACTCAATCAGAACTTTGTCAGTGTGATAGTTTTAAACAATGATTTTCTTTTTAATTTCATCTACTATCAATATTCAAAAATCAAATACATTATTATATTAACATTTTCCCCAAGAGGATGCAACAAAACAATCCCTTTTAATATGACAAATGCCCAGATTTTCTTTGAAATACAAGGGCTCATATTAATTTGATTCCAGGGATGTAGTAGGGACCAGAACATCCCTATTGTGCCATAAAATAAGGAAGTACTCAAGAAATAAAGACATGTTAAAAGAACATGGGATCCAGGCTGAGAGGATTCCACTGGATAAATCTGAGACAATTCTAAGCATTAAAAAGAGTCACGATAATAATGGATTATAACACACTGAATAAAAAAAATCTTGTGAGTCTACATTGATAAAAAAAATTTTTAATGGGGGAGGAGAAAATACTTTTTATTTTTACAGAAAACTGCCAACTAATAAATGTAGAAGGAATAGAAATATCCTAGCCACCACAGTAACGGTTGATTCAGATAAGAATCAATGAATGCCAATTGTACTGGCTAAAAGATTATTAGGGAACAGGGTATTCCTGCAGTTTCAAAGCATGATATCAGAAATTACTAATTAATTACAAAAGGCAAAGGACATCTTTACAACAAAAAAATCTGGCAGATACCACCTTAATCATATCATATTTCAACATCACCAATAATGGGATAATCATACATCTATCTTGTGCCACCTGATTTGATGCACTGGGAAAGACACAGTATCACCTATGTAGTATTCCCACCAAAAATATATGACCTATTCTATTCATGAGGAAACAATCAAATGCATCCAAATTGAGGACTATTCTACAAAAAAACTGGCCTGGATTATTAAGAAAAGTCAATATAAGAAAAGACCAAAAAGAAAAAAAGAAAAGAAAGAAAAAAGATTAAGGATCTGTTCTAGCTTACAGGAAGCTAAATTGATATGACAATTAAATGATTCTTGACTGGAGCCTACATTGAAAAAACTTCAAAGCTAAAAGGGGCATTATTGGGACAACTGGAAAATTGAGAATATGAACAGTATATTAGATAAGAGTATTGTATTGATGCTAAATTTCCTGAGATAATTGTATTGTGACTACATAGGAGAATTCCTGTTTTTAGGAAACAACTGTTGAAGCATTAATGGGTAAAGTGCTATGATATTTGCAACTAATTCTCACATGACTTAGGAAAAAGTGTGTGTGTGTGTGTGTGTGTGTATGTAAACAGAAAGAAAGCAAAACTTCAATATGTTAATAATTGGTGAATTCAGGCAAAGTGCATAAATAATCATGGTACTATTCCAATTTTTTTATGGATTTGAGAGTTTTCAACATAAAAGAAAAAAGAGAAAATCAGTATCATTTAATCAGAAATAACATGAATTCAAACTATAATCTTCAGTGTTGATAGCACATGATAAAGGCTCAATAAATATTTGAATGAATGAATATTCTGGAACTATTTAAGCATTTTTTTTAACTTGAGAATAACCATTAAAGAAGAAATTATTCCTGAGAAAGCATCTGGAATTAAATGACCAGCTCTAGTAAAGTCTGGCAGCTGGTACTGTGCTATTTTTTTTCCTTACTGATTTTTGCTGCCATGCCACACCCATCATTATAACTAGATTCAAAAAAGTACTGCCATCCAAAAGACATAGCAAATAATACATACTCTCTATGTACATGTAAAAGTTCTGTACTTTTACTTACAAGGTATGGCCATCAAAAAAAAAAAATGTTATCTGAAAGAAGGTGAAAGAATATCTAATTTTATTTAGCTAAATAACATTGCTTTTTTATAAAAAAATGATAGTTAAATATATCTTGTATTTGTACCTTATGGAAATGAAATATTTGAATTAAAAAAATTAGTAATTATCACCTGAGATTAAAGCTTAACACTTTTTAATAAAGAAGGATTAGAAATAAACCACCTTTGGGATATTTTATTGATTCAAAAGGAAAGTTACAGTTGGGGGCTAAACAGAAAAAGAAAGCAGACTCCTTCATCTGAACACTATACCCAAGAAAATATGAGGAAGAAAACAATGGGGGGGGGGAGCTAAATTGTTACACTCTAAGTAAGAATGTCCATTGTGGCCTTTTCTTTCCTATACCATTTCTTAGAGCCTATACAAGTAACCATTGGAACTGAATAATTATTTCAAACAGACTACACATTTGTAGTTTCTTAATTGTACTGAATTCTAAATATAATTATTCCTTGATATAAAAATATGATATGCAGAATTCTACCATATAAAATTTATATACCAAGGAATTAATCAATTCTGGTACATATTACCCCAAAATTTTATAGCACTAAAGAGGAGGATTCCTTCCTTGCTTTTATCAAGGAGTTCTTCTCAAGGTATCAATACTATATAAATTAGTTATAGTTTTTTGTTACCCTGGGGAATCAATGTTAGAGAAACAGTAACAATAGTTGAAACATCAGGTGAGAGAAAGAAGTGATGAAAGGGCTGGATTTTTGTTGTTGTTCACTTTGTTAACTAGCATAGTGCCTAAGTACATTACATTACAGCCTAGCTTGGGGAAAATGCTGTTACCAAGTGTTCCCTATAGCTTCCTACCCTATAAGCCTGTTCACCCAAATATCCCTAATATAGCTATTATTCCATCTGTTAACACTTGCTGAATCCTATTGTTCCCTCAATTACTACTGAATAGCATATTGGAAGTTATGGAGAAAGCTGGAACCTACACATGGAAATTTTCTTTATCGTCTGTTTTTTTAGGAATATATAGTAATAAGAGTTTGGGTAAGGAACGGAAAGTTCTAGTGAATGAAATTTTGTTAATTGAAAGTATTTTTAACAGCTTTTGTTGCTCCTCTCTCCCCTAAAATTAAACTTTGTTGCCTTGGGTTGCAGTGAAAGAGCTGTCATACAAATCAGTGATCAGTATCCCTGTATGTTTATGTATTTATTACAAGTAAAAACCTAGGATAAGTCTCCACTAAAATACTCTCTTTTCTTGCTATCTGCTTCTTGAATAAACATGTTAAACTTATGGATAACTGAATAATTACTTGGGTTCTGATTAATATAGTATGTGATTCATGTACATACCTTCTCATATGTTCTTATATACTCTTGGAGTCAGTTTTATTTTTTTAAATGTGGTGATTATAATCAACTTTTATTATACCTTATGTAAAAGAACTGTCTGAGAGGATGATGAAACCCATGCCCTACTTCTCATGATTTCTATCTTGTTTACCCTTCAAACAGAGGAGAAGAGCAGCCTAAGTATTTGTGCATATTTACAAGAAAGTGAAGTGGGTTGTAGGAAAGGTATATCCAAATACTATGGCTCCTGATAGCATTCTGGTTTCAAATGTGCTTTTCCCTTCATTAACCAGAACACAGCTGAAAAAACATGAAACTGCTTCTACAATGATAAATTTAGCAATTTTAATTAGTTAAAGATTAGGAAATCTGATGATCAGAGGTATACTTTCATTTAGAATGGTGCTTTAATATACTGTATTGTACTGAAACATAAGGCAGAGCTCTACTAAAATAAACACTCATTGAAATGAATACATAATACTCATTTCAATCAATTAGAGGATGAATTATAAAGTTCACTCAGTACTCCCAAATAATCCTTTTTTTAAAAAAAGGTAATTATCAATAACTCCTGGGTAATTGATCGTATCAAAGTTACCAAGTGATTCCAAAGACTTTTAGTAGAATCCAGGCCTGATTTTAGAAGTCAAGCGAAAAGGGTTCTAGAAAAAACCTTTCACTGGTATCTTTATGAATAATTACTTCTTTTAATTCCTACAAGTAGCATCACTTGGATTTTTTAGAAGGCTTATTTATGACATTTAAAAGCTAGTATGTTATAACACAAGTTATTTTGCCAAGAATAAATCAGGTAATAGCAGCACTCACCCACCTTCACTAACGAGCTCACTATTGTCTGACTGCTTACAAGAGATGATCTTCTCCACTAGTTGGTTGTAGCTGCAGTTACCAACAGCTTTTACAATGTCATCAATCTAGAAAACAAACGACTGTCTCACTAATCATGATAAGATTAAAAACAGTAACAAAGAAACCCACATCACTCTTTAGGGTTTTATTCTAATATTAAATGTAAAAATATGACTTATGAAAAAGAAAATCAACACCCAACAGTTCCTAATTTTGTTTACAGCTCACTATAACACATTATGAAAAATACTGCTTAGCCATATTTCAATTATGCAAAAAATAATGAAATGGGATTATTACATGCAACTTTATTTCTTAAGGTTGTAAAGATGCTAGTGATTAAAATAAAAAGTAAACTATTTCAGGAGGAAAAAAAAGAACATTTCAGTTTTTTTTCCTAAAAAACAAATATTTTGCATTTAAAGCAAGGCAAATCTAAAGATAATTTATGGGATTAACAAAGTTCTCCCATTTTATTTATTATTTAGTTCTCAGCAAAGTATAGTGGAGATGCAAGTAGACATAACTATGTCATTTTCCTGAAGAAAAGTTAATATACATTAATCAGGGATAGTATTTGCCTCACGAGTCTTATTTAATCTTTGTCTTTGGCAGTAGAGTAGAAAAGTAAATGCAAAGTTTTAAGCTGAAGGAAAATGAAACTGGGCATCTCTACTCTCCTTCCATTACACTTTGCTTTGACTACTGAAGACAAAGAGGTTCCTGGTGTCTAAACAACTTGTTTTGATTGCCATCCCAACTGTAAAATATATTTACTTATAAACTATTTACATGTACTACTGTATTGACATATACATAATTAAACAAATATAAATTAATACATAGATATAACATAAGAGGGCCAATGTTTTCTTTCCACATCCAAATGATCTTCTTGAATACTTACACTTTGAATACCACAAGTCTTCATATATATCTGTTCAAATAATACTCTGGACAATGGTTCTCAAACTGGGGAGCTTGTTAAAAAGATCTAATAGAATTCCAGGCTCAAGTTGCTTCTCAGCTGTCTAAATTTTCATTCCACTGCTGCATAGCAAAGTTTAGGAAAAACTGCTCTAGGCTATAATTTCTTTGTTCCTGCAAAATTCTAGGATGGAAAAAACCTCTGAACCACTGTGGGGACCGAATGTTGAGAAGAGCAGTTAATTGAAAAAAGTCAAAGCAGGGAGTTGTGAAAAAATGTTATATACACATCTTGAACATTTCATGTTAAAATACACAAATGTATTCACTTGTCAATCTTTCATGGTAGAGCCAATAAGGCTTTTTCTTTGAAAGCAGAATCTTACAATTCTATGTAAACAACACAAAAGAGTATGACTTCCAGTTTTGATTTAAAATGAAAACTTAGACCCTTAAGAAGCAATTTGAGGCACAGTTCCTTTAGATTTTCATTATTTTTCTTAACACTTTTACTGTTTACAGCAATTTTCCTTAGTGACTTAACTTCATTAACTCCAAAGGATCTGAATTTTCAATCCTAAGGAATCCACAAAATACAAATAAAAGATAAATATACAAAAATCAATTGTACTTCCATAGACCAGCAATAAACAATATAAAGATTTCAATACAGAGATTTCATAGGCCAAATCTCTACATTAGCATTTCATTCAATTAATTCATTTGGGAGCCTTTTATGCACAGCTGTGTACCAGGTGCTGTTAGAGAAACTGCAGACTCAGCAGTGAACAAAAGAGATGGTCTACGCTTTCATATAGTTTACATTCTAGAGTAAAGACAAACAACAAACCAAATAAGCAAATATATTATATGCTAGGTAGTTATATGTAGTGGTGTACAGCTGTTCTTTGTTCACTTTCATTGTATTCCGCAGTATGGATATACCATAATATAATTTTTTTCATTCATTTTTTGATGGCTAAGTTGCTTGCAGTTTTGGGCTATGACAAATAATACTGCCATGAATATCCTTATACATTTATCCTATTCTACACATAAAGAGTTTCTCTAGGAAATATGTTTTGTCTAATTGCTAAGTCTTAAGGTATGCTTATCCTCAACTTTGCTACAGAACTCCAAACTGCTTTCCAAAACAGAAAGCCAATTTATTTTCTCATCAGCGGGAAATGAGAATTCTCTACATTGCACATCTTCTCCAACATTTAGTACTGTCAGACTTTTAAATATTAATTGTTCTATGTTCTAATGGGTGTATAGTGGTATCTCATTTTGGTTTTTATTTGCATTTCCCTGATGACTAGTTCATAAGTTCACTAGTTGGATATCCATTTTTATAAAAAGTGCTTTTCAAGTCATTTGCTTTTTTTTAAACTGGGTTGCCTATCTTAAAAAAAACATATATATATATATTTGTAGGAGCTCTTTATTCATTATATAAGTTGTAATCCTCTCAGGGGCTTGCTTTTACATTTTCTTCGGCATTTCTTTAAATAAATACAAGTTTTCAATTTTAATGTAGTCATGTTTACCAAAGTTCTTCATGGTTAATGTATTTGTTTAGAAATCCTTTCCTATCATTAAAGTCGGAAACATACTCTCAAACTTTGGCAGTTTTAGCTTTTACAGTTAAATATCAACGCATATGGAACAAATTTTATGCTGTGAGTTGGAGGAAGTAATTTCATTCTTTTCCAATTAACTATCTAATTAGAAATCCAAATTGACTATCTAACTGGCTATCTAATTAAATATGTAATGGCTACCTAATTGCCTTAGCACCTTTTATTATAAGGACTGCCTTTCCCCTGTTGCTCTACAGTGTCTTCTGTCTTTACATGCATGGTCTTTTTGGCTTCTCTATTCTCTGTCACTGGTCCAAATCTTAATTACAATATTTAAAGTATTTCCTATCTGGAAGAGCAAGTCCTCCCTGCTTGTTCTGCTTCAAGTATATCACGACTTCTATTCCCAGTCCTTTGCATTTCCACATAAATTACAGAATCCACTTGTCTCATTCCAAAACTACTCCCCATAAATCTGTTGGGATTTTGTTTGGGGTCATATTGGGGTCATATTGAAACTATAATTTACATTAGAGAGAATGGACATCTGTATAAATTGTCTTAAAATCTAAAATCTAAGAATAGAGACCTACATTTACATAGGTCTCTAATTTCTCTCAAATTTAAAATTGTGCACACAGAGATCTTGCACATCTTTTTGTCAGCTTTATTCTTAGGAACTTACGCTATGTAAATGACATATTTTTTAAAATTTCATTTTCTGTCATTTATTTATTTATTTAAAAATTTTATTTTTGGGGCGCCTGGGTGGCTCAGTCGTTAAGCGTCTGCCTTCGGCTCAGGTCATGATACCAGGGTCCTGGGATCGAGCCCCGCATCGGGCTCCCTGCTTGGCGGGAGGTCTGCTTCTCCCTCTCCCACTCCCCCTGCTTGTGTTCCCTCTCTCGCTGTCTCTCTCTGTGTCAAATAAATAAATAAAATCTTAAAAAAAAAAAAGTTATTTGTTACTGACAACAAAAAATACTTACTTTAAAAAATAAAATAAAATAAAAATAAAAAAATAAAAATTTTATTTTTAAGTAATCTCTATACCCAGCGTGGGGCTCGAACTCACAACCCCAAGATCAAGAGTCACATACTCTACCGACTGAGCCAGCCAGGCGCCCCTTCTGTTTGCCATTTTAAAATTCTTTTTGAAGGGGGCGCCTGGGTGGCTCAGTTGTTAAGCATCTGCCTTCGGCTCGGGTCATGATCCCGGCTCAGGTCATGATCCCGGGGTCTTGGGATCTAGCCCCACATAGGGCTTGCGGCTAAGAGGGAAGCCTGCTTTTCCCTCTCCCACTTCCCCTGCTTGTGTTCCCTCTCTTGCTGTCTCTCTATCAAAAAAAAAAAAAATCTTTTTGAAGAATGTTTATTTGAAGAATTTTGAAGATTTTAGCTTTGTTAATCTTACTTTCTGCTTTTTAATACTTTCTGATCTTTTTTTAAAAACACTTTCTGCTCTTAAAATGGATATATAGTTTATTAGCTTTCAATCTTTTCTTATTCATTAACATATGAATTTAGGGCTTTAAAAATCCCTCTAAAAGCTGTTTTAGCTAAATCTCACAAGCTTTGATATGGATTTAGTTATTGTGCAGGTTAAAATATACTCTGACTTTCATTATCCTTTTTGGCCCAAACAATTTCTATTGTTTTTCTACTGATTTCTAGCTTAATTGCACTGTGGTCAGAAGATATTCTATACTCTATGTGATTTAAATCCTTAGAAATTTGCTGAAACTTGCTTTATAGCGCTGTCATAGGTCAGTTTTTGTAAATTTCATGAATGTATAGTCAGGTTCAAGAAAAAAAACAGGAGAAAATGTCATGGACAGGAGACTAGGAAGATATGATGATTAAATGCAATGTATTATTCTAGATTAGATCATGGAACAACAACAACAAAAATTAGTGGAAAAATTGGTGAAGTGTGTGAGAAATGAAATCATGAAAGTACTAGAGGGGAATACAGGCAATAACTTCTTTGATATCAGCTGCAGCAACTTCTTTCTAGATATGTCTCTGAGGCAAGGGAAACAAAAGCAAAAACAAACTACTGCAACTACATCAAAATAAAAGGCTTCTGCAGAGCAAAGAAAACAACCAACAAAACTAAAAAGCAACCTATGGAATGGGAGAAGATATTTGCAAATGACAAATCCGATAAAGGGTTAGTATTCAAAATATAAAGAACTTATAAAACTCAACACCCAACAAAACCAAATAATCCAATTAAAAAATGGGCAGAAGACATGAACAGACATTTTTCCAAAGAAGACATATGGCTAACAGACACATGAAAATATACTCAACATCACTCATTATCAGGGAAATACAAATCAAAAGTACAATGAGATATCACCTCACACCTGTCAGAATGGCTAAAATCAACAACACAAAAAATAATAGGCGAGGATGTAGAGAAAGGGGAATCTTCTTGCACTGTTCATGGGAATGCAAACTGGTGCAGCTGCTCTGGAAAACAGTATGGAGGTTCCTGAAAAAGTTAAAAATAGAACTATCCTACAACCCAGCAATTGCACTACTAGGTATTTACCCAAAGAATACAAAAATAATAATTCAAAAGGATACATGCACCCAATGTTTATAGCAGCATTATCTACAACAGCCAAATTATGGAAAAAGCCCAAATGTCCATCGACTGATGAACAGATAAAGAAGATGTGGTGTATATATACAATGGAATCTTAGTCATAAAAAAGAATGAAATCTTGCCATTTGCAACGACATGGGTGGAGCTAGAGGGTATAATGCTAAATGAAATAAGCCAGTCAGAGAAAGACAAATACCGTATGATTTCACTCATACGTGGAATTTAAAAAAGAAAACAAACGAGCAAAGGAAAAAAAAAGGAGACAAACCAAGAAACAGACTCTTAACTGTAGAGAACAAACTGATGGTTACCAGAGAGAGGTGGGTAGGGGGATGGGTGAGATAGGTGACAGGGATTAAGGAGTGCACATGTCGTGATGAGCACCAGGTGATGCATGGAAGTGTTGAATCAATATATTATACACCTGAAACTAATATTACACTGTATGTTAACTGGAATTTAAATAAAAACTTAAAAAAAAAAATTGGTGAAGTGTGAATGAAGACTCTAATATAGCTAATAGTAATGTACCAATATTAAGTTTTGATATGTGTACCAAGGTTATGTAAGATTAAGAGAAATGGGGTGAAAAGTATGCAGGAATTCTCTGTAATATCTTTGTAAATTTCCTGTAAATCTGAAATTATTCAAAAATAAAAATTTATTAGTTTTTTTAAAGAATATATATTCATTAGGTTTTATTTTCTGCTTCTGTCAATTACAGAGAAAGACATAACATCTTCCCGTATGGCAATCTATTTCTTTTTATAATTCTGTTAAATTTTGCTTTATGTAGTTTGAGATTATATGATTAGATGCATACAAATTTTATTTTTTTAAAGATTTTATTTATTTATTTGACAGAGAGAGACACAGTGAGAGAGGGAACACAAGCAGGGGGAGTGGGAGAGGGAGAAGCAGGCTTCCCAATGAGCAGGGAGCCCGATGCAGGGCTCGATCCCAGGACCTTGGGATCATGACCTGAGCCAAAGGCAGACGCTTAATGACTGAGCCACCCAGGCGCCCACAAATTTTATTTTTTATTGTCAAAAACTGACCTTTAGGCGCCTGGGTGGCTCAGTTGGTTAAGCGACTGCCTTCGGCTCAGGTCATGATCCTGGAGTCCCGGCATCGAGTCCCGCATCGGGCTCCCTGCTCAGCGGGGAGTCTGTTTCTCCCTCTGACCCTCTCCCCTCTCATGCTCTCTCTCTATCTCATTCTCTCTCTCAAATAAATAAAATCTTAAAAAAAAAAAAAACTGACCTTTATTCTTTGTGACAGTTCCCATGGGTCCAAAGAATGAGCAATCAATCAGGTATTTACTTTCTAGGTGTCTCTGGGCACATACAAATCTAAAACAATTATATCTCCTTGGCAAATTAAACATTAAGCAATTGTATGGCATCTTTTTTCCCCTCTCTTTACTTGCAAACTTTGTTTTTTATATCTCTTGTGAACAATAAATATATATTATTTTAACCCAACCTCAGAATCACTTTTAACTAGAGCATTTAGTCCTATTTACACTTACTATAATTATTTATATACTTGAACTTATTAAATCTATTCTCTTTGTCCCATCAGTTCAACATTCCTTTACCTCTTCTTTCTTCCTTCTCTTTAATTTTTCTCTTTTCTACTCATCTAGAAGTTACCCACTATGTTGTCTATTCTTTTCATAGTTACTCTAAAAGAGCATTATCCAATAGCACATTCTGTAATAATGGAAATATTCCAAATCTGTGCTGTTCAATAAGATATGCACTGGCCACATGTGGCTACTGAGCAACTGAAATACACCTAGTGCAACTCAGAAACTACATTTTTAATTAAATTTAAATAGCTACATTTGGCTACCACATTGGACAAAGTTACAGAAACTATAACATCTACCCCTAAAGAAAATCAAATAGGATTGTGGGAGAGGAAATGACTGAGAAAAAGGAGGCTGACTAATTTCAACAAGTTGTCAGAAAGGGTCTCTCTAACAAGGTGATATTTGACCTGAGATCTGAATAGTGAGGTATCAGAAACATGAAAATCTGGGAGAACAATGTGTAGGATAGTGAAACAATGTTCCACAGTAGGCAATCAGCCAGTAGAAAAACCTGAAATAGAAATGAACTTGACATGTCTGAAGAACAGAGGAGCAGTCAGCATTACTAGAGAGTAGTAAAAAAAAAAAAAAGGGATAATTATATGAGGTGAAATTGGACAGAAAGGCAGAGTCTAGGTCAGGGAGCATATCATAAACACGCTAAAAAGGATTTTGTATCTTATTGGAGTTACAGTGGAGGTTTTTAAGGAAAGGAGGGGGACACAGGCATCAAGGGGAGGGTTATTTTACAAAGATCACTCTTAGTGCCAAGACAACTCAATGGGGGAAAGAATAATCTTTTACAAAGAGTACAACAAATACTACTAGGACAACTGGATATCCACATGCAAAAGAATAAAACTGGATCCCTCGTCAAACTATATACAAAGATTAACTCAAAATTGACTCAATCACACTCCTGAATATAAGCACTAAAACTTTATAAAACTCTTACAAGAAGATATAGGAGTAAATCTTTGTGCCTTTGGGTTAGGCAAAGCCTTCTTAGGACACCAAAAGCATAAGCAACAAAAGAAAAAAAAGAGATAAATTGGACATCATCAAAATTAAAAACTTTTTGGCCTCAAGAACACCATCAATAAAGTGAAAAGACTATCCACAGAATGGTAGAAAATATTTACAAATCATATATCTAGTAAGAGACTTATACCTAGAATATATAAAGAACTCTTGCAACTCTATAACAGACAAATAGCCCAATTAAAAATGGGGAACGGATCTACAGACATTTCTCCTAAGAAGATATACAAAAGGCCAATAAGCACATGAAAAGATATTCAACATTATTAGTCAAAAGAAATACAAACAAATCCACAATGAGATGCAATTTTATACCTATTAGTATGACTATAATCCAAATAACAGATAATAACAAGTGGTGAGAATGGGGACTCAACTTTGTAGGTAACTCCTAACTCCTTGAAGTTATAGTCAGAAGTCTTGGACAAACTGAGCAGTCTGGAGGACAGTGCCCTTAACCTCACAATTTGGCTAATTTCAGATAAAACCACAAAAATATAACAATCAGAGGGGCATCTACATGGTTCAGTCAGTTAAGTGTCCAACTCTTGATTTCAGCTCAGGTATGATCTCAGGGTCATGAGATGGAGCCCCGTGTTGGGCTCCATGCTGCGTGTGGAGCATGCTTAAGAGGCTGTCTCTCTCCCTCTGCCACTCATGCTCACTCTCTCTCAAAAAAAAAAAAAAATATATATATATATATATATATATAAAACAATCAGAAAATATAAATCTAGATTAAATTTCCAAATGAATAAAATTTTACTATATTTGTGTTTATATAATTTTAAATTTTCTACTTACCTGTGGATCCACTAACCACCCATGGTACAAAGGAATATCAAGAAGATCAAATACAATGCATTCTGGTGTATATTCAAATACTCGAACACCAGTGAATTTTACGTTTACATCCAAGCCTGTCTGCAGTTTGTGCAAGATTGCCATAGCATCACTCATATTCTGAAAATAGAAAGGAGAAAGGTAAAGATGAGAAAAATCAAACGACAATGACAATGACAACAACAGCAAAGATACTTGAATGCAGGCACATTTACTTCTACTTTTCCATTTTATCCAATTTATTTGTCCCTTCAACCAATTTTTATTAAGTGCCTACTATGTACCAGGCACTAATTTGAGTTTTAAAAAGATAACAGTGAATAAAACAAAGTTCCTGATCTCCTATAACTAATATCCTATTTTGAGAGACAAATATATATACAATATAATGTCAAGTATTTAAGGAAAATTGAACAGGATAATGACATACAGACTGACAGGGATGAGGGACCTATTTTAGACCAGAAAGACCAAAGACAAAGTTTCTAGTCAAAGAGTATTACCTCTCCCACTTTGGGGCATATATCCAAAAGAACTGAAAATAACATCTTGAAGAGATACTTGCATCCCCATGTTCATTGTAGCATTATTCATAATAGTCAAGAGGTGGAAACAGCCCAAATGTCCACTGACAGATAAATGGATAGACACACTGTGGTATATACATACAATGGAATATTATTCAGCCTTAAAAAAAAGGGCGCCTGGGTGGCTCAGTCATTGAGTGTCTGCCTTCGGCTCGGGTCATGATCCCAGGGTCCTGGGATCGAGCCCTGCATCGGGCTCCCTGCTCTGCGGGAAGCCTGCTTCTCCCTCTCCCACTCCCCCTGCTTGTGTTCCCTCTCTCGCTGTGTCTCTCTCTGTCAAATAAATAAAATCTTAAAAAAAAAATAAAAAAGGAAATTCTATTACATGCTACAATATGGATGAAACTTGAGGACATTATGCTGAGTGAAATAAGAAATCACAAAAGGACAAATGCTATGTGATTCCACTTACATGAAATATCTAGAGTAGTCAAAATCCTGGAAACAGAAAGCAGAACGGTGGTTGTCAGGGGATGGACAAAGGGAAAGCTGGGGAGTTGTTCAATGGGTTTAGAGTTTCACAGTTTTACAAGATGAAAATGTTCTAGAGATCTGTTATCAACGTGAATATAGTTAACACTACTGAACTATACACTTAAAAATATTAAGGGATTAAATTTTATATGTTTTTTTAAGATTCTATTTATTTATTTGAGAGAGAGAAGAGAGCATGAGCAGGGGAGGGGCAGAGAGAGAGGGAGAAGCAGACTCCCCACTGAGCAGGGAGCCCGCCTCGGGCAATTGATCCCAGGACCCAGGGATCATGACCTGAGCCGAAGGCAGATGCTTGACCGACTGAGTCACCCAGGCGCCCCTAAATTTTATATTGTTTTTAAATCACAATTTAAAAAGAAAAAGAGGGCGCCTGGGTGGCTCAGTCGTTAAGCATCTGCCTTTGGCTCAGGTCATGGTCCCAGGGTCCTGGGATCGAGTCCCACACTGGGCTCCTTGCTCAGCCGGAGTCCTGTTCTTCAGCTCCCTCTGTCCCTGCTTGTGTCCCCTCTCTCGCTGTGTCTCTCTCTGTCGAATAAATAAATAAAATCTTTAAAAAAATAAAAAAAAAGAAATGAGCTATCAAGCTTGAAAAGACATAGGAAATTTAAATGTACATTGCTAAGTGAAAGAAGCCAACCTGAAATGGCTACATATCGTATGAGTCCAAATGATATTCTGGGAAAGGCAAAACAATGGAGGCAGTGGAAAGATCAGTGGCTGCCAGGGGTTAGGAAGAGGGAGGGACGTATAGGCAGAGCACAGAGGATTTTTTAGGGCAATAAAACTACTCTGTATGGAACTAAAATGGTAGAAATTTGTCATTATACATTTTCAAAACCCACAGAATGTCTAACAAGAGTGAACTTTAATGTGAACTAGGGACTCTGGGTGATAATTATGTATCGATGAATGGATATTGATAGTAGGGGAACATTTGCATGTGTGGGATGGGGAGGCGGGGAGGGACAGGAGGTACATGGCAACTCTGTTCTTCCCACTCAGTTCTGCTGTCAACTGCTTTAAAAAGGTGGGGGAGCTCTATAAAAATGGCACTTAAATATCAACCAAAGCAAAATATTGACTCTGTGAAGCTCTGGGAAAAAAAGCACTCCAAACAAAGTAGACACTAGTACAAAAACTCTGATGCAGAAATGACTTGATACTATGTCCATGGAACAGCAAGGAGTGCTGAATAGCTAGAACAAAATTAAGTAGAAAGTGTAGGAGATGAAGTCAGAGAAAGAAAAAGACAAATACAAAGACTTGGTTGCCCAAATTAAGGAGTCATTCTGTCCACCTCTGTTGTCTCTGTAAATATGGTCACATAAATCTGTAATGAATACTATTTTAAAACATGTTTTTAACATTTTTAATACAGTAAATATGGTCACACTTATAGAGGATATATTTGATGAAACAAAAAACTCCAATATATAATTTTTTTAAAGATTTTATTTATTTATTTGACACAGAGAGAGAGAGTGAGAGCAGGAACACAAGCAGGGGGAAGCGGGAGAGGGAGAAGCAGGCTTCCCACCGAGCAGGGAACCCGATGCTGGGCTCGATCCTAGGACCCTGGGATCATGACCTGAGCCGAAGGCAGATGTTTAACGACTGAGCCACCCAGGTGCCCCCCAATATATAAAATTTAATACAATTTTTATTTAATCCCTACTGTTAATCAGACACTATGCTACATATTGAAGATATAAAAAAAATAGGAGGGGACTATAGCCTACCAGGGGGCTTGTAGTAGAAAGGGTGAACATGAAATAAATCCTTTTATATTAAAACTAGGTACTCTCTCTGAAATCTGAAAAAGACAAACTTAGGTCATAAGAACAAAATTCTGTTTTACCAAATAACATAAAACTCCATTCAAAGAGACTATACAGACTGAAAATAGAAATTAGTCAAATCTTTCAAATTTATCAATGAAGAATTTATAATAGGATAACATTGTTATATAATCTGGCTTTCATCAGTTTTACCTCTTCCTAATAACTATATTCTCCCAAAACAATATATTTTTTCAATCTTCCCAAAAGTTGAACCCTTGAAAATAATCAGCTTACATTTTTTCCCTTCACTGTTATAAAACTTTTCCTAAGCCATAGCAATGATGAATCTGAAAAAATAGTAAGAGTGGGCTATTGTAGGATTATAGTTCTACTGCTACTGGTTTTTCTTCTACATTTGTTAAATTCTTGGTTGCCAGTCACCCAATTTCCTTTAGGGTAGGTATAATTTCTAATAGCTCCTGGGCTCATGCTAACACTTTTATGTATCTTCTGTATTTCTTTATAAATTATGTAATATTAAAATATCTATGGGCGCCTGGGTGGCTCAGTCGTTAAGCGGCTGCTTTCGGCTCAGGTCATGATCCCAGGGTCCTGGGATCGAGCCCCGCATCAGGCTCCCTTCTCAGAGGGAAGCCTGCTTCTCCCTCTCCCACTCCTCTGCTTGTGTTCCCTCTCGCTGTATGTGTCTCTCTGTCAAATAAATAAAATCTTAAAAATAAAATATCTAAATTGACAGCATTTGATAATCTCTATAAATATCAATAACACTGATAAAAAAAATGAACATTTGTAAACAAAGAACTAAAGGATAAGTATTTTGCCATTTTGTTCCTAAACCCAAATTATGATATTAATAATATCAAATATAAATCCTTGGAATGGTTGCTTACATCCCAAGAAAGAATTACTATGGATTCCTTTAAGTCAGTGGTTAAACTTTTTTAAAATTTTTCACAAAGGTACTTCTGACATGGTGAAATATTTTTAATGTAAATATAAAATATACCTTAAAAATATATTTGCAGTCATTTAAAAACCTGTCATACATACACACACACAGAGTGCTTTCTTGTGTTGTCAGGGTATCTATCATTAAACAAAACTGGAAAAAATATGCTTTTTGTTTATATTACTACTTCTGGCAAAGAAGTTTAATTAAGAAGATTTCAGCTCTACATTGGTCTTTCTTGAATTTAAGGCTTAAAACTTTCTGTTCACATAAAATTATACAAAAAAGAACACTATTAAATCACACCTGTAGAACATTAAACACCAGCTTAAACTCAGCCTTATCAGTTTGGTGCATGTTATTCTCACAACTAATGGTAATGTAATCATAATACCTTATCAACAGTTTTAAGAGTGTATCTTATACGTAGGGTATTTTTTATCTGACATGTATTTCTCTTAAGAAATATAAGTGGTTGTTAGATATTGTTTCAACTTGAAACAAAACTTTACTTCCAATCATTTTCCAAGAGTCTAGATCACCTTAATGGAAGTATTTCCTGAGACTGCAAGATGGACTTGAAAAAACAAACAAAATGCTGATATCATTGGCAAATACTCATCAATCAAGATTTTCTCAAGACTGTGCAACAAAAATAAACAAATGTTGAGGGTGATATGAAACTGCAACTATCATCTATAATTCCTAATTTCAAGTTTTTGTATTAAGCAAAACAGCCTCACTAATTTCAATAAGAGATGGTATAAATTTGATAAATAATATAAATTGAATCTTATCACTTTATACTTATTTACCGCTTTTCTATATTAGAGGTTAGCATGAGATTTCATTTGAAAAGACTTTCTAACACAAAAAATATTTGGAAATTACTGCTTTAAGCTACAAATGCCAACAGAATTTAAATGACAGCATACCAATTTGGCTTTAGCTACACATTTCCTACCTTACAGAATGAAGCAGTGCAATACGTTTGGTTTTTCAATTCTATTAGGACTAGATTATCTGATCATTCAAATTCAAAAAAATCTGCAATACTGAAATGAGTTTTGCTTCCTAAGCCAATTTGTTACTGCTAAAAGTATTTAAAAATGTTGCTTTGAAAGTAACTATAAAGGTTCCAATGATGTCTATTTCTTCCCTGATACTTCTTTTCACTGTAAGAACCTGATTCCTTCTTGCCTTTTGCTGTCAAACAGAAGAACAATACTGAAGAAAACGAAGTTCCCCTTGTTTCCTTCCAGCTCCAATAGTTTTGAGCTTCTCCTATTTTACAGAATAGAATCTCTAAAAAACATGCAAGAAATGTGGACACATTGAAACTACAAAAGAAAAGATTTTGTCCTAATGACACACAACAGACATCATTTACTCAACTTCCTCTCAAATATAATTATAAAATATAAATAAAATGAGGAAAAATGAATCAATGACAAATTCACTTGAAAGTCAATTTTTCAAGAAAAATACCAGGTTATCATTCTACATAGATCTGTAGATCTGTGTTTCATTCCATATAGCATGTATGTTCATATAAAGCAGAGACGTAAAAGTATGCCCTGTGGGCCAAAACTTGCTGAAGCTAAGAACGGTTTTTACATTTGTAAAGGGTTGTAAAATAAAAAATGAATATGCCTATGAGCCACTGACAGAGACCAATGAATACATCCATTAGTTAAAAATTACACATTTTAATATAACAAAAATTGTGTCTATTACCTGCTCATAGTTTAAACGTTGAATTTCTGAAATTTCCTTAGGCTTTGCATCAAGCATGTAATCTCCTGTAAAAAGAAATTGTGAAATTGCCTTTTTAAAATATTACTTTTTCATTACAAAGGTAATGATTTTAATTATAAATTATAGAAATAAGTGACACAAAACTGACCCCCAGTTCTACTCAGAGAAAAATCGGTGTTAACTAATTGCTATAATCTCAAATATTCTTTTCAATGTACATACTATAATGCTTTTGAACTTACTTCTACTTTCCAATATATTTGAGCATTTTTCCATGTCACTACAAAAAAGCTCTAAAAGGCTGTACCAAGTCTCATTGCTATCAACAGTATAAACTGCTACCTCATTACTTTCTCAAGAATGGGTGTTATCGGGTCACCTGGGTGGCTCAGTTGGTTAAGCAACTGCCTTCCGCTCAGGTCATGATCCCAGGGTCCTGGGATTGAGCCCCGCGGGCTCTCTGCTCTGCAGGGAGCCTGCTTCTCCCTCTCCCTCTGCCTGACACTCCCCCTACTTGTGCTCTCTCTCTCTGTCAAATAAATAATAAAAAATCCAAAAAAACCCAAAAAACCAACAGCTGTTATCAGTGTTTTAAATGTTTGCCATTCTAAGAAGTACACAATATATTTTTTGCCCTTGAGAAATCGGTATATATGTATTTTTGTTATCACCCTTCCCCCATCATCTTTTTTTTATTTTTTATTTTTTTTATTTTTAATAATTTTTTTATTGTTATGTTAACCACCATACATTACATCATTAGTTTTTGATGCAGTGTTCCATGATTCATTGTTTGTGCATAACACCCAGTGCTCCACGCAGAACGTGCCCTCTTTAATACCCATCACCAGGCTAACCCATCCCCCCAGCCCCCTCCCTTCTAGAACCCTCAGTTTGTTTTCAGAGTCCATCGTCTCTAATGGTTCATCTCCCCCTCTGACTTACTCCCATTCTTCCATCCTGCTATCTTCTTCTTCTTCTTCTTTTTTTTTCTTAACATATATTGCATTATTTGTTTCAGAAGTACAGATCCGTGATTCATCAGTCTTGTGCAATTCACAGTGCTCACCATAGCACATACCCTCCCCGATGTCTATCACCCAGCCACCCAATCCCTCCCACCCCCCACCACTCCAGCAACCCTCAGTTTGTTTCCTGAGATTAAGAATTCCTCATATCAGTGAGGTCATATGATACATATCTTTCTCTGACTGACTTATTTCACTCAGCATAACACCCTCCAGTTCCATCCACGTCGTTGCAAATGGCAAGATCTCATTCCTTTTGATGGCTGCATAATATTCCATTGTGTATATATACATCTTCTTTATCCATTCATCTGTCGCCCCCATCATCTTTTTAATATATGTATGACTTCTAGTATATGTGGCACCTTTTTAATGTATGTAACACCATTTTAATATATGCAGTAACTTTTTTATCTATGTTTTGCCTTTTTACTTTTTTTATTTTTAAAGAGATTTTATTGATTATTTTAGAGAGAGGAAGAGCACATGCAAGCAGGGGAAGGAGCAGAGAGGGAGGGTGGGGGATAGAATCTCAGGCCTCCTCCACACTAAGTGTGGAGCCCAATGTGGGACTCGATCTCACAACCCATGAGATCATGACCTGAGCCAAAACCAAGAGTCAGATGCTTAACTGACTGAACCACCTGGGTGCCCCTATGTTTTGCCTTTTTAATTACATATTAACTATATATACTTTCCTTTTTTTAAAGATTTATTTATTTGAAAGAGAGAGCGAGGAAGTGGGAGGAGGGGCAGAGGGAGAGAATCTTTAAGCAGACTCCCTGCTGAGCAGGGAACCCGAGAGGGGTGGGCTCAATTTCACAACCCATGAAATCAATACCTGAGCAGAAACTAAGAGTCGGACACTTAACCAACTGAGCCACCCAGCACCCCTACACTTTTCTTTTAATTGCCTGTCTATACCATTTTTTCTTATTGAACTATAAAAGTTTTTTTAGTAAAATGACTTTTTAAAAGATTTTATTTTTAGTAATCTCTACACCCAACATGGGGCTCAAACTCACAACCCAGAGACCAAGAGTTGCACGCTCCACTAACTGAGCCAGCCAGGCACCCCACCCCTCTCTTTTTTTAAGATTTTTTTTTTATTAAAGATTTTTATTTATTTATTTGAGAGAGAGAGAGCACGAGCGGGGAGGAGGGGCAGAGGGAGAGGGCGAAGCAAACTCCCTACTGAGCAGGGAGCCCCCACCTCAGGCAATCGATCCCAGGACCCTGGGATCATGACCTGAGCTGAAGGCAGATGCTTAACTGACTGAGCCACCCAGGTGCCCTTAAGATTTTTAAAATGCTCTTTTTTAAAAATGGAAGTATAGTTGATACACAATGTTATATTAGTTTCAGGTATACAATATCGTGACTCAACAACTCTATATGTTATGCTATGCTCACAAGTGCAGCTACCATCTGTCATCATACAGCACTATTACAACATCAATGACTGTATTTCCTATGCTGTACCTTTCATCTCCATGACTTATTCATTCCATAACTGGAAGCCTGTACCCTCCCACTCCCCTTCACCCATTTTGCCCATCTCCTCACACACCTCCCCTCTGGCAACTACCAGTTTGTTCTCTATATTTATGGGTCTCTTTCTGTAAAAACTTTTTCTCAATCGGAAGAATTAGAACACTTCCTGTTATACTGTGTGGCAAATATTTTTTTCCCGTATATTGTATTCTGACTTTATGCTGATGCTTTTTGTCTATTTTTTTACCATACAGAAATATTTAATTTTAATAACGTCAAATTCTTCTATTATGGTTTCTGATTGGATGTCATGTTTAGAAAGATCTTTACCTCTTAAGCATATACAAACATGCACATGTGCTTTCTTCATGTAATTTTTTGTTTACCTTTTTAATGTTTAAATCTTTAATTTATCTGGAATTTATTTCGATATAAATAGTGATATATGGAACTAACTTCTCGCCTAGCCTCCCAAATCACTAAGTTGATAAAACTGTATGGATTTTTTTTTTTTAAGATTTTATTTTTAAATAATCTCTGCACTCAACATGGGGCTTGAACTCACAACCCAGAGATCAAGAGTTGCATGCTCCACTGACTGAGCCAGGCACCCAAAAATTGTTTTTAATGTAACTTTTATTTTTCTAATTCAAAATAAACCTCTAAAGAGTGCATCAAGTGTTCTCTTAAACTTTTCAACAAGAGATTTCTGATAACATCAAGAATCTCTGATAACAAAAGATTCCTATGAACATCAATATACTATTACTTGTGCTTTTTGTGTGTGTGGTTTTTTTTTTTTTTTTTTAAGATTTTATTTAGGGGCGCCTGGGTGGCTCAGTCGTTAAGCATTCGCCTTCGGCTCAGGTCATGATCCTGCTCCACGGGAAGCCTGCTTCTCCCTCTCACACTCCCTCTGCTGTGTTCCCTCTCTCGCTGTGTCTCTCTCTGTCAAATAAATAAATAAAATCTTTAAAAAAAAATTTTATTTATTTATCTGAGAGCGAGCATGAGCGGGGCAGTGCAGAGAGAGGGAGCAGCAGACTCCCCACTGAGCCAGGAGCCCGAGGTGGGGCTCGATCCCAAGATGCCAGGATCATGACCTGAGCCAAAGTCGGACACTCAACCGACTGAGCCACCCAGGTGCCCCCTGTGTATTCTTCTAATTAGAACTTTTTTTTAAAGATTTTATTTATTTATTTGACATAGAGAGAGAGATAGTTGAGAGCAGGAACACAAACAGGGGGAACAGGAAACAGAGAAGCAGGCCTCCCGCTGAGCAGGGAGCCCAATGTAGGGCTTGATCCCAGGACCCTGGGATCATGATCTGAGCTGAAGGCAGACGCTTAACGACTGAGCCACCCAGGCGCCCCTAATTAGAACTTTAAGTTATCAACTCTAACTAGTAATGATTTTATTCCACATAGGCACAAGAACTCCCAAAGCACTAAATTAACTGATCATAAAAATGTATAAGCAAGTCTACTTACCATTTTTGAGTCCTCTCCATACACGGCACACTGTATATTTGTATGTTAGGGCTTTCATATAGCGTTTAACTGAAAACTATGCTTTAAGTAAATTCTATATACCATTTTATTCAAATAACTGAGGACACAATTACTATACTTGTGTCTTGTATTTAGGTTCTGTATTTATCCTGATAAAAGACTGTACTTGCTCTCCTCACTAAAACCTTAGTGGAGTCAGGATGCAGAACATTCTAGAATTCAATATTAAACGACCCTGATTATGCTATCATAGATAAAACTTAAATGCTAAGGGTCGCCTGGGTGGCTCAGCCGGTTAAGCGGCTGCCTTCTGCTCAGGTCATGATCCCAGGGCCCTGGGATCAAGTCCCGCATCGGGCTCCCTGCTCAGCGGGGAGCCTGCTTCTCCCTCTCCCTCTGCCTGCCTCTCTGCCTACTTGTTCTCTCTCTCTATGTCAAATAAGTAAATAAAATCTTTAAAAAAAAAATTTAAATGCTAAGAGTAGAATAATTATTGTGAAAGACTCAAATACACAACTCCTCTTTTCCTGAAGACAGAAAAGGTTTCTGCACAAGAGAATAACCTGGCTAAGGTAGGCAGCTTCTTAGATGGACCTCAACAGGGGCACCTGGGTGGCTCAGCTGGTTGGGCATCCAACTCTTGATCTCAGCTAGGGTCTTGATCTCAGGGTCGTGAGTTCGAGCCCCACATGGGGCTCCATGCTTGGCGTGGAGCCTACTTTTAGATGGACCTCAATAATTCCTGTCTTCTGGTATTCATATTTTTGTATAATCCCCTTCCCTTGAGTACGAGTTGGACTTATTAATTCACTTCTAGGGAATAAAAAAAAGGCATAAATAATGAAATGTCACTTCTGAAATTAGAATACAGAATACTGTGGCTTTTGTCATGATGTTCTCCCACTTGCTCACTCTGAGGAAAGCCAGGTGGCATGTTCTGAACTGCCTTATGGAGAGGCCTGCATGGCATGGAACTAAAGGAGGACTCTGGCTATGGTTAGTGAGGAACTG